TGAGAGTCATTACAATACAGGAATGAAAGAAAACTATCTCTTGTGGAATACCCTGATAATTGCCACTTCAGCAGAGAAAAGTTGAAAGGTCAGCACCGTCTGAGAGAAACTAACAATAAAGAAGTTCCTGGAATTCCTGAGGCTTTCTGCTCCTGTAAAAATTTACAGTCTCGGAAACCCTGTGCAGGGTCACTATGTGTTGGAACTGACTCCACGATGCTTAACAACAACAGCATAACCCAAATCCCTTTAAATCCCCTTCCTTGCTTTAACCCTGTTTGCTCCACCACAACCCTGTCTCCAGGTAATTGATTTCAAAGAGACAGACAGCCCTGAGTCAGTTTCTGTTTCATGGTAGCACTATTGGGCAGTCTACTCTGTCATATAGCATCAAAAGATGGAAGGAATACACAAAGTCACTGTACCAATAAGAAACAATAAATGTTCAATCATTTCAAGAGGTAGCATATGATCAAGAACTAATGATACTGAAAGGAAGGCATTAGTGAAAAACAGCGTTCCAGGAATTGATGGAATACAATTGAAATCTTTCAACAAACTGATGCGGCACTGGAGGCACTCATCTATGCCAAGAAATACGGAAGACAGCTACTTAATAATTGGAAAAGATCCATATTTGTGTCCATTTCAAAGAGAGGTGACCCAACAGGACGTGAGTATCATCAGACAATATCATTAATATTGCTTGCAAGTAAAATTTTGCAGAAGACAAATTAAAAATGGCAGCAACAGTAAATTGACAGGGAACTGCCAGAATTTCAAGACAATTCAGTCAAGGGTGCGGAACAAGGGATATCACTGCTGATGTCAGGTGGATCTTGTTTAAAAGCAGAGAATACCAAAAAGATGTTTACATGTGCTTTATTGATTATGTAAAGATTATCTGTTGTGTGGATCATGACAAGCTATGGACAACATTGTGGAGTATGGGTATTCCAGAACATTTCATTCTGGGACCTGTAGATAGACCAAGAGGCAGTCGTTCAAACAGAACAAGGCAGCATTGAATGATTTAAAATTAGAAAAGATGTTCACCATACTTACTCAATCTGAATGCTGAGCAAATAATCCAAGAAGCTGGATTATATGAATAATGTGGCATCAGGATTGGAGGAAGACTCATTAACAACCTGCGATATGCAGATGACACAACCTTGCTTGCTAAAAGTGAAGAGGACTTAAAATACTTACTGATGAAGACTAAAGACCACAGCCTTCTGTATGGGCTGCATCACAATGTAAAGTAAACAGAAATCCTCACCACTGGACCAATAACATCAAGATAAATACAACGACTGAAAGCAACAGTCAAGAAATCCAATGACATATTGCATTAGGCAAATCTGCTGCATAAGACCTCTTTAAAGTGTACAAGAGCAAAGATGTCAGTATGAAGACTCAGGTGAGCCTGACCCAAAGTCGTGGTATTTTCAATAACCTTATATGTATGTGAAAGTTGGACAATGAACCATGAATACTGAAGAATTGATGCATTTGAGTTGTGGAGTTGGAGAATATTAAAAGTACCATGTACTGACAGAAGAACAAACAAATCAGTGTTGGGACAAGTACAGCCAGAATGCTCCTTAGAAACCAAATGTAACTTCTCTCTCACAGTTAGGACATATTATTAGGAGAGACCAGTCCCTGAAGGACATCATGCTTGATAAAGTGAAGGATCAGTGGAAAAGCATGACTCCCAACGAGATGGATTGGCACAGTGGCAGCAGCAATGGGTTCAAACGTAGCAATAATTGTGAGGTTGGTGCAGGACTGGGCAGTATTTCATTCTGTTGTGCATAGGGTCACTTATGGGTTGGTATGACTAGGTGCCATCTAACAATACTGTTTTATATGGAATCTTGGTGTGGTGCTGTAGGATAAGCACGGGGCTTATAACCAAAAAGTCGGGGATTCAAACCCACCAGGTACTCCTCGGAAACCCTATCTAGGGTCACCATGAGTCAGAACCGACTTGATGGCATTTAACAACAGCACTGTCAGTAGGGTCATGGTGAGTCGGAATTAACTCCACAGACAGTGGGTACTGCGGGTTAATGCGCTGGACTGCAAGGTCAGTTCGAATACAAGGTCAGGGTTCAAGCTCACCAGTCTCTCCTCAAAACCCTATACAGGGTCACTATGAGTCGGAACCGACTTGACGGCACTTAACAAAAACAACATATTTACTTTGCCTTTACAACTCATTACTATCTTCAGTGCCCTGGCCCTAATTGTTTTCTTTACATTGGACCGTTTTCTCTCTCTAAAGCCTGGAGTTGCACAAGATCCTTTGCCTTTCAGTTCCAAAGAGAAAGTAAGTAAACGTTAGACGTCCTCATTATCTTTTTTCTCCAAAAAAAAAAAGGAGAGAGGTATTTTTAAAATCAACAAACATTTTTAAGATTGCCCCAAGCCACAGAGCTACCACTTTGCCCGCGGTTTTCCCTCCTAACATTTGAGATTCCCCTCATATCAAACTAACACTACCTCCTCTCTTACCCGGAAACGGAAAAAGAAAAACTCAGCACCCCTACGTTCCGGGATTCATTTTTCCGCAGGTTTCCTGGTGAACGGAGCCGAATGGCCAGTGCCGACTGGTCCGTAGAGCCGTCGCTCTCAGCCGCCTCCGCTTTTTATTGGCTGACTGGGGTGCCGCCTCTTGAGCAGGGCGGGAGATTCGGTGTACTGCCGACAAGCATCCCATCCCCCCAGCCAGCTTCTGGTGCGCTTTAGCTCGGCCCTCTTCCGGCGTTCCTGCTGAGTACTTGTCCCTGTGGCTGGGGCCAGAGCATCCTTTCCTGCTGTAACGACTCAGCCCGGCATCGTCCGGTGCGCACTAGACGGCCAGAGCCGAGCCCCTTGGGGATCTAGCGGTGCGTTGTGAGGCCATTGGGCAGCCTCCGTTTTCTGTTTGGCGGCTGGCTTCCGAGGTGAGACCCGACCCGCCCAGGCTCTGCAGCCGAGCGGGTGACCCCTCTCAGGGCTTTCCCCTCGGTCTCCCGCTCTCCCCTCCTCAGTTTACCTCCTGTCCCGCCTGTCCGAGGACCCCCGGCCAACGGAGCGCACCCCTCTTGCTCAGCAGCCAAGGCCCAGAGCGAAGTCTGCAGTACTTTGCTGCGTCTGCCTGCCCGCCGGGCAGTGAGGCAGTGATGGAATAGCCGTAGCGTGCCGGGGACCCAGTGAAACCTACATACGTGGTCCCTGGCCTGCTTGTCAAAGGAGAGCCCGTGACAATCCGCAACGAAGCGGGGAGAGTGCCCGGTGAGAAGAGCATGTACAACGAGAGATGGGGCGTTCAGCCCGCACACCCTAAAGCTACAGCCTTTGATGTCATCCCAAACGGAGAGCCAAAGGCGCCCCGCTCACTAAACGGCCACCCCCGTTCTGCTTGTTGTAAAATGCTGATTACTCTGGAGCTTTCGTAGAACTTTTAAAATGAAGAGGCTGTTGTTGCATTACTTGTCATATTACAGTTGAAATCCCATTGGAGTAAAATTTCCCCATGGAGCCAAGACACAGCCCCTTAGTTAAATAGCGATTTGAAGGAAAAGGTCAGGGCCCAGCACCTTTGTGTAAATGGTCATTTCTTGAGCACTTTTTCTGTTGTAAAGTGTTAAAGGAGGTAAGAGGTGTGTAGGGTGCAATCGAGGTTGGAACTGGCAAACGTTTCCTGAGCATTTTCATGTGGCAGGCACATAATCTCATTTGAGAGATCCAAAGTCGCCCCGCTCTAAGGTGCACCCCTAAGACTGGTGGTTAACCATTCACCCACATCCTTTTGAAAGGATTCTGTTTTTAAATTTGCTCGAACGTTTTCATTTGCTCTCAAAGGAGAGTGTGTTGCTGTTAACACTTAGTGCTGCTGCTGTTACTGTTTTTATTGTTAAGTGCACTTGTATTGGTTTGCATTTGAGCAGTCCAGTGCTTATCCTACAGCGCCACACCAGGACTTATATGTTGTTTGTTATTGTTAACTGTCACTGAGTTGGTTACGACCTATAGCTACCCTGTTTAGGATTTCAAAGGAGCAACTGATAAAATTGAACCACTGACCTTGTGGTTCAAACCGACCTTGCAGTCCAGTGCGTATCCTACCAGTATCTGTATAAATAGTAAAATATTGTATTTATGTGCAAAGTGTAAGTCTCAGAGCTATTGTAAGGATTAAATGAGAATATATATAGTCAAAACTATGTTGAGTACATAAAAAACAGTTGCGCTTGAGTGGACTTCCAACTCCTGTGTGTCAGAATAGAATTCTGCTTTATAGGGTTTTTAATATCTGTTTTTTCCGCAAATATCCTGGCCTGTTTTCTAAGGCATCTTTGGGTAAATGCAAAGCTCCAACCTAATTGGTAACTGTTTGCACCACCCAGGTACTCTGATACATTTGGTGTTGGTAAGTGCCCTTGAGTCATCTCTGACCCATAGCACCCTATATAGGGTTTCTGATGAGCAGCTGGTAAGTTTGAACCACTAACCTTGCAGTTCAAATGGCTTTGCAGTCTGGCTCATTAACTCACAGTGCCATATAGGAGTGTGTTCAAATTTTGCCTTCCTTGTCTGTTGCCTCCCCCATCCCCCATCTAGAGCTCAGTATAAAAAGGCTTATAGAATTTCTGGGTCAAATGGTAGGTAATAATGATCTTTTGACCTTTACTGTACCACCATGGAGTCTGAGTATGGCTCTGTGGGATAATGAACCAGACAGCAAGGTCAGTTTGAACTACAAGGTCGGCAGTTCAAATTCACCAACTGTTCCTTGGAAATCCTGTACAGGGTCACTGTTAGTCAGAACTGACTCACTGGCACTTAACAACAACAACAATACCACCATAGTTTAACTCTAGTTTTGTGAGGTCTAAATTTTTCTCTTCATCCTTTTTCTTAACACTCATGGTGGACTCCTTGATTTCTCCCTTTTGCTTTTGTTTTCCTATTAACTGAGTCCGACTGAGTTCTGTTTTGAATTACAGGTCATTCTACTTGAATTTTCCAGCTGCAGAATGTGTAGTACCTTTAAAGGTAAATGACAATTGAAATAGGTAATTTTATTGTAGTTATCTGTCAAAGAACAAAACCAAACATAGCACCATTTAGTATAACTGTCTCATGAGGTGACACCTTCAGTTTCTCTTGTCAGGAGAAAAGCCCAAAGCAGGATCTGTTAGAGAATGAGGAGGGAAAAGTTTCACTGGGAACACCAAATCTTAGTTTATGGTTTTTTGTAAGTGGTGCGAGAATCATAGATTAACTTCAGGCTACTAACTGTTAGTTTTGATACTAAATTTTGTCAGAGTTGCCACAGTTTATCAAGGTTTTGCCTGCTTACTGAAGTCAGAAATCAGTACCATATTAGAGAGATTCATGTTTCCTCTTTAGTTACCAAAATATCTAGAAAGTCAGATTCATAATCATAAACTTGTGAACATAACAATAAAAGCTAACCAGACCCACTGCTCTTAAGTCGATTCCACTCCATAGTGACTGTAAGACAGAATAGAACTGCCCCATAGAGTAACCAAGGCTATTACAGAATTAGACTGCTTCGTCTTTCTCCTTCAGAGTGGCAGGTGAGCTTGAACCACTGACCTTTTAGTTCACAAACTCGTGTTTTAATCACTGTGCCACCAGGGCTCCTAATAAAAGTAAACGTTGAGGGTTATTCGATCCAGGTTTGGTACACCAGTGAAATGTCACAGATTTCTCCCAGGATTCCCTTTTCCTATACTCTTTTTTTAATAATCCAACCTCTTTCTGTTAATGTGGTGGTTCTATTGATTGATTGATTACAGTTTTTCTTATAATGATTGTTTTCCTGAGATAACATTTTAGTTACCTTGATTAGAGTTGGCCCTTCCTAAATTTCAGACTCTTCTTCCATTCTTTATTTTTCATATATGAAATTATGTTATTTATAATCAAAATCATATAAACATAGTAATTCCTAGTTGGTTTTCTATACTTAAAAAGACTTTCAAATGGGGAGAAAAAAACAGTGTTATATAAATTCTTGTATTCATTATGTTAATGTTTAATTTTTTGGTGGTTAAATGTTCATTACTTTCGAGTGATCGATTGCTTCTCTTTAGGTTGGCTGTGATGAGTAAACTGGAATTAAAGGAAGACAAGATGTTGGAGGTTCGATTTGTGGGGGATGATGATGTTCTTAATCACATTCTTGATAGAGAAGGAGGTACTGAATGATTATTACTATACAGTTGTAGAGATGCTTATGTAATACTTTAGATTTGTTCACTTTTTAAGATACCTTAATCCATTTTGGAGGTAGAACACAAAAATATTGATCTAATAAGGTTGTGACTAAAAACTCCTTTGATGTTTAGTCTATTTTATTCAAACTTTAATTGAAAAATAAAAAGTAGTCTCATGTAACATGAAGTATTCAGAAGTAGTGGTATTGCCATTGAAATTTAAAAGTGTGGCTATTTGGAGTATAAACCTATACTTCCAATATTTTTATGAAAAATTTCATTGTAGAAACTGGAAGAATGGTCAGTACTTTCACCTAAAGAAAAAAACACTGAGATTTTTTTTTTTTTTTTCATCTAAGTAATGACAAAGTAAGTTATGTTTAAACTAATTTGTATCTGTCATGTTCTAATTCTTGGATGTACTTACAGGAACTAAATTAAAAAAGGAACGAACTCAGCTTTTGGTTAACACAAAAAAATTACTAAAGAAGCCAGAAAATGACTTAGAAGATGACCAGGAAGTCTTAAAAGATCAGAATTATGTGGAAGTTTTGGGGAGAAATGTTCAAGGTATTGAAGGTAGGGGAATTTACACTACTATTTTACTTATAGCAGATACTACTTTGGAAAATACACAAAAGTAATCTTATAGATTAGGCAATGGTGTACTACTATTTTCTTTACATTTTTGCTTCACAGTTCTCTCTTAACAAACAGCCAGTCCTATATTTCATTATTTTTAGAAAGAAGGACTCTACAGACCAACCACTCAAAATGTCTTTTCTGTCCTTTTTTTTTTTTTTTTTTTTTTTTTTTTGTGAATTGAGTGAAGGTTTACAGAGCAGATTGTCAGTTTTACATTTAAAATATCATCTACTTTGCTTCATGATAATGATTCCAATCCCCTCAATGTACCAAGAGTTAGAAGTATTTGCCTCTATTCATTTTAATTATTGCATTCTTTCCCTGTCTTCTGCTACCTTCATCTTCCTTTGCGAACATAACCTACCTTTTGTTATATATTGCCTGCCCTGTCACCCATGCTAATTTGTGTCTGCTCTTTAGCCTGTGAATAATTTTCCTTCCCCACCTCTCCTCTGCTCCCATAAGACCATCATAAATTATTTTTTCAAGAAAACCTTTTCTTAACATTTTACAACATTCTTCTTACACAATATTTGTGTTTTTGTGATTGACTGGATTAATTTCACTCAGCATAATGTCCTCCAGTTTCATCCATGTTATAAGGTGTTTCACACAGATTCCTTGTTCCTTGTAGTATTCTATTGTGTGTATGTGCCAATTTTTTTTTTTTTTTTTTAGCATCCTTCTGTAGATGGACATTTAGGCTTTTACCATCTTACTGATGTGTCTATTATATTGAAGGATCTTGTTTTTTTTAAATCCATTCTGCTCTCTCTGTCTCTTGACTGATGCCTTTAAATCATTTACATTCAGTGTTGTTATCAATAGGTATGAATTGATTGCTGTCATTTTGCTGTGTGTTTTTTTTGTGTGTGTGGTGCTGTTGGTTTCTTTCACATAATTTTCTGTGCAAAGTTCATTTTGTTTGTGGCTTTTTTATTCATTTTCATTCTGTGTGTTAATGTTTACTAAATCTTTGCAATTTTCTTTTTTTATTTTGATATGCAGGTATATTCATTTTCTTTGAGGTTACCCTGTAATTTATTAATTTTTCCCAGTTTAAGACAGTCTGTTTTATCATGTAATCTACTTGACTTCCTTGCGATTTGGAAATTCTATATTTACATTATTCCCTTTTTTTGCTTTATAGTGGACTTCATAATAAACTAATATCTCTGGTTTCCTGTTTTCAGTCTTGTCATTTTGTTTTGCTTTGGATACTTCTGTATCTAAATTGAGTTCTGGTGATATTGTCATGTGTGTTAATCGCAGGTTGTTGTCTTTTGTTGTTGGTTCTCAGTCCAAAGAATGTTTTTGTGCAGTGCCATTGAGTAGGTTCCAACCCATAGCAACCCTATATAGGATTTCTGAGGAACAGCTGGTGAGATTGACCCGCCGACCTTGCATTTCTAACTGACTGTACTCTGGTTATTACAAATTCCTTTAATTTCTGTTTATCCGGAAACATCCTAATTTCACTGTTGTATTTGAGGGACTGCTTTGCTGAGTATAAAATTCTTGGCTGACAATATTTTTTTCCAAAGTTTGTTAAATGTCATTTCATTGCCTTCTTGCCTGCATGGTTTCCACTGAAAAATCAGATCATAGTCTTAAAAAAAAAACAAAAAACCTTTTTGTTTTTTCCAAGCTGCTCTCAGGATTCTTTACTTGTCTTTTGTTTTGAAGTTTGATTATGATATGCCTTGGTGATTGTCTTTTAGTATCTATTCTGTTTAGGGCACATTCAACTTCTTATATGCTTATCTTCTTATCTGTCATGATGTTAAGGAAATTTTCTTTCAACAACTCTTCAACAGTTTTCTCCATGCTTTTTCTTTTCTCTTCCTGTTCTAAAATTCCAATTACCCATAAGTTTGTTCCTCTTCTTGGTATCCCACATAACTTATAGGCTTTCTTCAGATTTTTTCATTCTTTTTTTTGATGGTTCATCTAGCATACTAGTATTGAGAGTTTATCTTCATGTTCACTAATTTGGGCTTCCAAGCTTTGAATCTACTCCTTTGCCCTTCCAATGTATTGTACATTTCTGAAATCTTAGTATTAATCTTCTGGATTTCTAATTGTAGATTTAGTATTGTTTAAAAATTTGCATTTAATTTGTCTTTGTTCTTGTTTTCTTGAATCCTTCCAAACGTTTTTCTGTGTTTTCCTTAGTTTCCTCACTCTTTCTGTCAATTCTTTTAAAGTACCTAAAATATCATTATTTTGAATTCTTTTACATTTAGTTTCATTACCTTTTCTTCCTTAGGAATGTTGTCTGGCTCTGCATCTTGGTCACTTGTTTGAACCATTCTCTCATTTCTTCATGTGCATTAAAATTGTCTGTTGTCTAGAGCATTGCATTTTTATACTTTTATGATTGTATTTTCATGTGTTCTTAGGCTCTCACCAACTGTCTGCTGTATATGTAGTTAGAGAATGGAAGGATATGCACCGTTGTCGTTTGTCATTCATACACCTCAAGTTTGGCTGGTGTTGGTTGCTGTCTTATCATTGATCAGGTGGTATAGGAGCTGGTATTGGGTCTTACCCAATGGATGGAGCTGTAAAGGTCACAATTGTGGCTGGGCTATATGGGCACAATTACTATCTTCCAATGGGTGGAAAATGTAAACCCACACACATACATACAAGAAAACAAAACAGAATCAACCAAAAAGGAACCAACAATGAAAAGAGAAAATAATAGAAAAAGAGAAATAGAAACAGGCAGCAACCATAAAAAAAGAATACAGTAACTATAAAGACAAAGAGGGACAGGGAAATGGAGCTATAGAAGAGAAAAATAAAAGGAAGAAGTCCAAACAAAAACAACCACTTAATAACTAAAAATAAGAGAGGAAATAAAAGGAAGAAATTTTTTTAAAAAAGAAAACACATAGAAAAACCAGGGAGAGAGAAGATGAAAAGAGAAAGAGAGCAGAAAGTAGTACAGAAAGATCAAAAGGGGAAAAAGAATACAGGAAATGAAAAACAGAAGGAAAAACTAAAGCAGAGATGTTGGTGGTGGCTGTGTGCCATGGAGTCGTTTCCGACTCATAGTGACCCTGTACAGGGTTTCCGAGGCTGTAAATCTTTATAGGAGCAGAACGCCTCATCTTTCTCCCACCGAACAGCTGGTAGTTTCGAACTGCTGACCTTGCGGTTCACAGCCCGATTTGTAACCACTACACTACCAGAGCTCCTTAAAGCAGAGATAAAAAGAATAACATTCAAGGAAATGGAAAGAGAAGAAGGAGAAAGAATAAACAAAACAATGAAACAAATGGAGAAAACAAACAGAAAAAACAATGTAAATGTTTGATCTGGAGAAGAGAAAACTCTGGAGCTCCTATAAGCCAACGAGCTAATAAGGTGGGCATGGGAGGGATGTGACAGCAGAGTACTGACTCTAGATGGACTTCCTGTCAGCCTTGGTATTACCTATGTTCAGGACATTCCATCTGGAAGTAGTTAGTAGTTCGTAGAGCTTACTTGATGGAGCTGGTCTCAGTGTCTCTTAGGACCATAGGGCACCTTGGGGAAGGGTGAGTGGTTAAAACTGGTGATTCTATAGGTCTGGAGCCAAGCCCACCTGAAATCAGGCACCACAGCATTGCAGCTAGGCCCCTTCCTTACAGTGGGTTGGCTCCCAACCACATGGCTTTGAGAGAGCAGAGTTTGTGTTGGGGTGGATGAGGTTGGGGGCTGGCAGCACCTCTGGTCACCATGGGCATATGGGGAAAATGAAGGAGTCGCATCTTTGTCATCACTTGTATGAATCTGCTCTCACAAAAGTTCAACATGGTCTTGTTGCTTCTGGCCAGTCATTCACCAGCCAGTCCTGCTCAGCTTCTCCTCCCAGAGAACACTCAATCCACTTCTCTAACCGTTCCTCTCAAGTTAGTGTTCCAGAATTTCCATATCTGTCTGTTTCATTTGGTCTCTCATATCTTTGTTGTAGAGGGCCTGTGTAGTGAGTCTGCCTATTACATTATCTTGCCAGAGTTCCCAAAGTTATTTTCTAAGATATTTAATTTTAACTAACTTTAAAATAATTTCATAAAGCAAGTCACTTCCTCATACCCATGGTGTTCTTTATACATGGTTGGAAGGAATAGTTCAGGAAGTAGTGCTGTTCAAACTTAGGTATGCCAGTGGTGGTTATGCTTTATTTGTACTTACACCTAGGTCAGATTCCTGCCATGTTATACTTAAAGCATTTTTTTTTTTTTTTTTTTAAGATTTTATTGTGAGTAGAGTGTTAATTTACATGGGAGAACATTGGTTTTACACTCATCGTGTTGTATATTGTAATGATTACAGTCCCCTCCATGCTCATCATTTAACAGTATTTGCTTCTCTTCCCTCTATTTTTTGGGGTTCCTTTTGATGTACACAAAAACAATCAGAAATACATAATCATTTAAACAACCGAAGGGCACATTCTGCAAGCCTGCCTCCTGGCCGCCAGCACACAGCCTTTCTCTTTCTATGAGTCTAGTCTTCAGCTACTCTGTCTCACCATGCCATCACCTCTGCCTCCATCTCTGGTGTCGTTGCTTCTCTGGTTAGGTCCCACATTCTGCTTGTGCTCTTCTCCCTTGGTGGTTTATAACGTTGTTGTTGTTGTTGTTGTTGTTAAGTGCTGTTGAGTCGGTTCCGACCCATAGCGACCCTGTACAGGGTTTCCGAGGGTGTAAATCTTTACGGAAGTAGAAAGCCTCATCGTTCTCCTGCGGAGCGGCTAGTAGTTTTGAACTGCTGACCTTAAGGTTTGCAGCCCGATAAGATTGATTAATTACATTTTATTTTTTAAATGTTTTACTCTGATTTGGGTGAAAGTTTACAAAGTAAATTAGTTTAATTTTCCATTCAACTCTTCATACTCATTTTGTTTCATGCCATTGAGTGCAGCCCCCACAGCAGCAATACTCATTGTACTTCGCCCCTGTATTCCCTGTTCCCATTGGCCCATCTGTATCCCTTCTTAACTTCTGAACTTTGTACTTGGGCAAAAGCTACCCATTTTCTCTCAAATGGTTGGTTAGTCTAAGGAGTGTTGGTGTCCCTGATGTTACCATTCACCTTATATTGTTTTTAAGTGCTTTTGAGTTGATACCAACTCATAGCAACCATGTATAGGGTTTCTGAGGAGTGGATGGTGAGTTTGAACTACCAACCTTGTGGTTCAGTACTTGTTCTACAGCGCCACACCTTATAGACCTGTCTGTTGTTTGGCCAAAAGTTGAGCCACGCAGGTGAGTAATTTCCAAGGTTGGGTTGACTAAGGGCCATGCTCTCAGGGGTTCCACCAGTCTGCCCAACCGGCGAACCTCATCTTTTTCTATGATTCTGAGTTTTGTTCCACATTTTCCCCCCACTCTATTCAGGACCTTTTAATGTGATCCCTTTCAGAGTGGTCGGTAGTAGTAGCCAGACATCATCTAGTTCTTCAGATATCAAGGCAGAAACGATGACGTGGAGAGACAGAGCGGCTGGGGACTTTAGACCAAGAGACGGGGCGGGGCTGTGTGCTGATGACCTAGGGGCAGGCTTGCAGGGTATACCCTTTGGTTGGTTGATGATACATGGAGGGGATTGTAACCATGGCAATGAAATGATATACGATAGAATGAAGTAAAGCTAATGTTCTCCTGTAGAAACTATCACATAATTCACGATAAAACATTAAAAAAAAAGGTAATTGGAGAATAACAGTCAAGTCAAGTTTCATTAAGTGCATTTTTATCATATAACAACTATTTAAATCACATCCTCAGTTAATAATTATACTTTGTGTGTTTGCTTCAAAAAATAATTAAAACAATAAAGTCTCTTTTGTTTTCCTTCCCCAGAGGAAACTACTATTATGGATTGAATGCTTATCCCTTTAACCGCTTTATTGTGTTTTTGCATGTATTTTGCTGATCTTTGAACATATTTTATGTGTGTTTGAAAATTTTTATAAACAATATCATAGTCTGTAACTTTTTTTTACCTCACCTTATGTATTTAGAATTATGCACTGATACACAGGGTAAGTCAAAAAAGTATTGCTACTACAGTTCCAGTTCATACATGCCGTTTTATCCAAACAAAACATGATTAAGCATATCTCTTCAATTAGTGGACAGCTGTCGACAAGTTCTCTGAGTAATAATGCTTATCTTAGTCTTTTTAGACTATCTTCAAAAAAAGGTTTCCTTTTGTGCCGTAGAAGAAACTGATTTTGAGGTCAGGGCTAGTACCAAAATTTTAACACAATTTTCAAGTGGACATCTTCTCAAATCACTGAAGCTTTGCAACAAGTTAACAAGAATGCTACCCCACATAAAACAACAGTTTTTAGATATATCAGGCATTTTCGAAAGTATTGGAAAGACCTCAAATATGAGCCAAGAGAGGGAACACCATCAATTTCAGTGAATGAAGAAACTGGTTAATGAAGACCATAGACTTACCATTGATGCAATAACTACTGAACTTGGGATGTCACATGATTCAGCATTTTCAATTTTTAAGTGAATATCTTGGCATCAGTAAGCTTTTGCATGATGGGTAATAAAAGCATTGCACAAAGATTAGCCTAGCTCAAAGAACTGATTTTTCCCATCAGTCTCTTTAAGCAAGATTGACAATAATGAAGACAATTCTATGTAACAAACTGTAACCATGGACAAGTCTTGCATTTACCAATATAATCCAAAGAGCAGTGTCCAACCACAACAGTGGCTTCTGAAGAAATCTGCTGGGCTAATTCAATTCAAGGCAGAGAAGTCAGCTCAGAAGATTATGTTGTTGCTGTTTGTTGTTGTTGTGAAGTGCCATCAAGGCTGTTCTGACCCATAACAACCCGGTATAGGGTTTCCACGGAGCAGTTCAAACGGCTTTGCATTCTGGCACAATAACCCACAGTGCCACGCCAGGACTCGTTGCTGTTAAGTGCCATCAAATCAGTTCTTACTCATAGCAACCATGTATAGCGTTCTGAGGGGCTGCTGGTGAACTTGAACCACCAGCCTTGCGGTTCAAACAACCTTGAAATCCAGCGCATTAACCCATAGCTGTTTTTTTGGAATTCCAAGCAGGTAATCTTGATAGATTTTCTCCAAAGACACAGGAAAATCATGGGTGCTAATTAGGAAGAAGTTTTAAGAAAATGGAAAACTGTATTAATGAGAAAAAGTCCAAGAAAGTTGTGCTAAGGAATATTTTTTTCCATCATGACAATACACCTGCTCATTCTTCAAGGGTAACAAGAACTGTCTATAAAAATCTTGCTGGGAAACCATCCACCCTTCAGCCCTGATCTTGCCCCTACAGATTTCTTTTTCCCAAAACTCTGCATTTCAAAGGAACATGATTTGAGTCCCTACAAGATGCCAAAACTGCTGTTTTGACATGGTATATCTGGAAGAGCACAGAATTTTTCAGAGAAGGGTTAGAGAGATAGAAACATTGCCTTCGGAAGTGTAGAGACCAAGATGGAGATGTCAACAAACAATATTTCACATTTTGATATTTTTGTGTAATAAAGGTTTCTATGATTTTATAGCAATACTTATTACTTCATACATAGATACCTAGTCCATTTGTATTTAATCTACATAGTATTTCTATGTAGTATGAATATGTTGTTGTTGTTGTTAAGTGCCGTCAAGTCAGTTCCGACCCATAGCG